AACCACCCTGTTAGAAAAATGAAATTGTCTTAGCTAAAGATGAATCCTACCCTTTACAATTTTAAACACCTCAATCAGATCCCCCTAAACTCTTCTTTTTTCAAGATAAAACAGTTTGATAGATTTGAGCCTCTCTTCGTATGACAACCCCTCTATCCTAGATACCATTCTAGTAACCCTTCTTTGAACCCTTTCCAACATTTCAATGTCTTTTCTAAGGTAAGGAGCCAAGACTGAACATAATATTCCAAATGTGGCCTAACTAGGGACCTGTGTAATGAAATTATAACCTCTTTAGACTTGTATTTAATAGTTCTGTAGATGCAACTTAAAATCCTACTTGCTCTACTACTAGCACATTGCTTGAATGGCTTCATAGACTGATCGACTATTACACCAAGATTCCTTTCTTTCATAACACTGTTAAGTTTATTCCCGTCCAGATTATACTTATAATTCAAATTATGATAATCCACATGCATTATCTTGCATTTAGTATAATTAAAACCCATCTGCCATTTATTTAACCAACTCACTAAATTATCTAAATCCTTTTGTAAATCAGCAGCATCCTCTTCACAGCTTGCAACACCCAAGATCTTAATATCATCTGCAAATGTACGTACTTTATTGACTATTCCTTCACCTAAGTCATTGATGTAAATCGAAAAGAGCAAAGGTCCTAAGACTGAGCCGCTCCACTTGTGACTTTCACTGAATTCCATTTGTAACAACCCTCTGTTTTCTTCCACCCAGCCACTCTTCTATCCAATTTGCTAACTTATTCCCCACAAGCCTTTTATGTGGCATCTTGTCACATACTTTATGAAAATCCAGATACACCAAATCTACACCCTTACCTTCATCTCTGTAAGCAGTAACTTTTTCAAAGAATGTCAAAAGATTTGTAAGGCAAGATTTTCCCTTAGTGAAACCACGTGGGCTATCCAATAAATTTCTAAAATTTATTAAATTACTTTGCAAAGCATCTTTTAACAGACTTTACAAAATGTTTCCCACAACTGGTGTAAGACTAATGGGTCTATAAATACTGGGACAATTTTTATCACCTCCCTTGAAAAGAGGAGTTACATTAGCTAACTTCCAATCCTCTGGTACCTGCTCACTATTCAAGGACTGACAAAAAATAGTAGCAAGTAGCTCACATATCCAATCTTTAACCTCCTTCAAAACCTTGTGGAAATATTATCTGGCCCAGGAGCATTATAGTTTTATAAACTTCCCAATTTTTTCTTAACCAGCTCAGAATTAATGCAGTCATCTTGTTTGATCTCGTTTCCATTTATCAACTGTTCAAGATGTGGAATACTGCTTAAATTTTCCTTAGTAAAAAACGAAGAAAAAGCAAAATTTAATAACCCAGCCATCTCAAAATTATCAGATACTAGCCTTCTTTTATTATCCCTCAAAAGTCCTACCCCATCCAAACATTTTGTTTACTCTTAATGTATTTAAAGAAATCTTACTGTTAATTTTTATATTTTCAGCTAACCTTTTCTCATACACCCTTTTTGATGTCCTAATTTCCTGACGTGTTTAAAATAGATCGACTTACACGTTCATGTTTGAAACATTATATTGTTACGTCTCCGTTCGTTA